ATATATATATATAGAGAGAGAGAGAGAGAGAGAGAGAGGCTCCTATCTTTTGGACCAGTGAAATACAAGGCAGAGAGGTCAGCTCAGAAGGTTACAGTAACTATTTTATTAGGATTGCAAAAGGGTCATCTTGATAGATTTTCACAAAGGACATATGGCGATCCCAAAGGCTTATTAAAAAAAGTTTTAAGAAAATTGAAAACTACATTGATAAGAAAAGGCCAGAAAAGTTGTGCCAGGGAGTGTTTTCACATCAGAACAATACACCTGTTCATTCTTCAAGGGTAGCAAGGGCTGTCCTACAGGCACTGATCTTGCCCCTTCAGACTTCTTGGTTGTTCCCTGAACTCAAAAGAATATTTGAAAGGAACAGGATTTGAGTCCCTCCAGGATGACCCCAACCACCACCACTAGGCTAAAACTTCCATGAGAACTGGTATTAATTCAGGAGCATACAAACCTCTGGGGAAGGCTTAGAGAGATGAAAATACTACTTTCATAAGCAAACAAACCTCCACAGAGGATATTTCTAGAAACTATAGTTTCATACGTGGATATCTTTGTTTAAAAAATAAAAAAGGTTTCTATGGCTTCATGGAGTCCTGGTGTGGTACTGTCGGGTAACCACAGGTCTGCTGTTCAAACCCACCAGTCTCTTCTTGGAATCTGAGATTCTTTCTCTCCATTTTCATGTTCAACAGAAAAGACAGACCTAAAGACGAAGCAAACATTTCAAATCTGACATGTGAACTTAGAGTGTGCAACAAATATTTGCTGCGTAAGGAAAAATACTAGTAAATCTTTATTATGGATTGAATTATGTTCCCCCAAAATATGTGTCATAAATTCTAACCTCTATGCCATGGTTGGACTTCTGGTGTGGCACAGTAGGATAAGCACTAGACTGCTAACCACAGGGCTGGTGATTCAAACCCACCAGTTGCTCTTTGGAAACCCAATACAGGTCGCTATGAGTCCAAACCGACTCAATGACACCTAACAACAATACCATTCCATGGTTATAATTCCTTATGGGGGCTGTTAAGTACCCTTGCCTCGGTTACAACCCATAGTGACCCTGTTTCTGAGGAGCGGCTGGTGAGTTTGAACTGCTGACCTTGCCTTTCAAACAATTTTGCAGTCCAGGG